CCCCTCCGCTTCTCTGTGGGGGGTGGGAGCGGGGGTAAGACATTCTCGAAACGTCGTGCCCCCTCCGCCCTGTATGTGAACAGGGTCCAGGGGGTTCGGCGTTTCGGAAATGCCGTACCCCCTCCGGTTCTCGGTGGGGGTGGGAGCGAGCGTACGGCGGTCTCGAAACGTCGTGCCCCCTCCAGTTCTCGGAGAGGATAGGGAGGTGGGCCGCATGGCGTTCCCAGAACGCCATAGCTCGGCCCCGTAGGTGGACAGGGCCGACGGGTGCGGTGCTTCGAGATCGCTGTATCACCGCTCCCTCTCGTCTCCGATGACCGGACGGGGTGTGGCGTTTTCGAAACGCCGTGCCCCCTCGGCCTTGCTTCGCGGAACCGGACGGGGTAGGGCGTTTTCAGAATGCCCTATACCATGCGACGCTCGAATGCGTTGGCGACTCACGTGAGGCGATGGTGGAAGGTTTGAAATCTGAATGCGATCTGTTCATTTGTTTGGAATGTGCCTGCCATCAGAAGGAGCATCTGCTGTCCCAGAAAAGAGAGTCTACAACACATGCACAAACTATAGAGATAGGGAGTGGGCCCTTGATTGGGCGGGGGGGCTACACGAGGCGGGACGTGGGGCCGCTGTGTTTCTGAAGAACGCCTCGGGTGATGACTGGTTCTGTGTTGGAGGGATTATTAAATCCGAGGATGAGAGGGTGGACAGGCACGGACGGAAGTTCAGGAGGTTTTTCCTCACAACGGTGTTCGACGAACAAGGAGTAGACCATGCGAAGGCCGACTGTAAAGTAAGCCTTGATTACAATCTGTTCAAGGGGTATGGCGGTAAGGCTATTACCATGAAAGCCTTCGATGTGTCCCCGAAAGAAGACGGAAGTGTGTTGATGATGCTTGGCCCCGTTAAATTCCTCGCCAAAACAAACGGCTACAGGAGATCCGAAAACAGTCCCACGGTTGAGGCCGGCCATCGTATGTCCCCGACATTCGTGCCTTTTGACACGTCGGACAAGGGTCTTCCTGGTATAGCAATGATAGAGAGACAGAGGACGCCACATAGTTTTCCAACACAGCAGACGTCAGCGAGTGGGGGCCGGCGCCGCAACAAACAGAACCAGCCGCGTCGTCCACCAGGCGAGGATGAGCATGGTCCTCTTGTGGGTTCGTCCCGCCGGATGGAGTGTGTTGGACCGTCTCAACCGTCCAGCCGGCAAGACCAAGGCACCCGTGTCATCACATACAAAAGGAAGGCCCTGCCAACTCGTCCCTCTCCCAGTTGCCAGAAGGACGAAGGTGGTGCGTCCAGGAAGGCGGCGCTGCGGGAGATAAGCGAAGGATCAGACGAGGAAACGGAGGACGATTCTAGGGTATGTGTTGATCGACATCCACAGGGTAATCATGTCGTCGGCGATGACGAATGTGGTGTCGATGAGGACGACGTCGAAGAGGAGAACAACGAGAGGGAGAGAGAGAGAGAGGATCGTGAGGAAACTATGCATGACTGCGAGGGTGGGGAGTCTCAACAATACTATGAGGAGGACGACGGGGGCGATGGAGAAAACGATCATGCCTATCCTGTAGGTGATGACAATGGACGGCAAGAGCGGTCGGCTGATGTGGGGGTCAACAACGCAACAGGAGAGCGGTCGAAGGCCAGTGTCCAGAAAAGGAAGCGACAATCTTCAACAAGTCCAACGGCGGCGGCGGATAAGCGCGCTGCGAAGAAACTCATTGTCGCTGCATCTCGACAGGCGCTCAAAGCTTCTCAAGAGGCGGTCGTTGAAAGCGTGAAGAAACGAAAAGGGTCCGCGTCGACAAGGGCGACAAAAGTTGAGAAACGTCCACCGAAAAGAAAGCAGATGGTGGATGAGGGTGACTCTGGAGAGGATGCCGAAGGGGTTCCTCCAAGAGATGTCTCGGAACAGACACAACCTTCCGTCGACACCCGTGATGAAGCCATCGACACAACACGGTGCTTCTTCTTGGAGTTCGATGAAGATGGGTTTGCAAAGAAGAAAAGAGAACACATTGAAGTGGACGTCACGAAGATCTTGTCAATCCCTGAATGTGACATCCTCTTCAACCATAGAACGTTGGACGAAACGTTGGTGCAGTCCATATATGATGCGATCCATCATGCGGCCAAGGAAACCAATGGGAAGTGGGATTTCATGACTTTCATCCTGGCTCACATTGTGCCCAACACGGACGGGTCTCAAGGCAGACGGATCACACCGGAGCAATTCGACGTCGAACTGGCTCATACATTCAACTGATATGCTGTTGCTGGCCAGCACACGGCTGAGGCAATGAACAGACTCATTAAAGACAAGTCACCGGCCGAGAAAGTGTATGGCTTGAGGTCGTACTCTCATGTACGTGCTGTCTACTTTGACGATGACAGAAAGAGAGGATATCCGTACGTCTCGACGTTCGACAACACGAGGGAGGAGCGTGCAATCCCGATATCGTTTTCGTCATCTGTGCACCAAATTAGAGCATTTTGGGATAAGAGGAATGGCCGGATCCGTCCGCCAGGGACCGTGTCCCCGAATGACGTCGAGGGAATGAAACGGAAAAAGAAATGGGAAGAGTTCATGAACGCCGCCTGCAAAATGACACCTGATTCCGGTCTCATGAACTCGTCCCTGGAGAACGACTACTACAAGGACTAGACGAACAAGATGCGCGGATACATGAATCTTGCGCAATGCGGCGAAGCAATATGGCCACTAGTACAGAAATTCTTCGACATGTACGAGAAGGGGCTATTGTCGCGAGTCGATGGTGTGAGATACATCGACCTGTCGGGGAAAGTGGAAGGGAGGCTGCCTGGGCAATAATTCCTCAAGGACAACTCCGGCAAAAAATTCCTGTTCCACTGCATCAAGGCCAGGAAGGGGCCACAAGGCGCAACGGTGTCTATACCTGACTTGACACCGACAATCTTCAAGCTGTTCGGCGATATGACAGCGAGAGAGAAGCAAGTGGCGCTTCACCACATGATGCGTGGTGATGTCATTGTGACATCACGTTCGGTACCTCGTGGTAGAGGCAACATGGCGGACCTGGTTAAATATACTCGGTGTGAAAGATATATGGTCCGTATGTTCAACTACATATTGTTCAAGGCCGAGGGGAGGTCAAAAGAAGATTGGAGCGCTGACTTTTTCATCGGTTACACGACCATCTTGGAGAGGTATAGCAAAAACGGCTTGACGGACGAGAAATGGACCGAGGAACGCGACCGCATCCCTGACGACAAGGCGAGGAAGATGCCGACGCGTTTAGGCGGTCCTGATGAGATTAATGGTGAGAACGGTGCGGGACTGGAGGCAACCCAAGGCATGTACAAGGCAACCCCGTTCCACCTCAGGTGTTTCATCTACGAGGCAATCGACTGCTTGGACGACCTGAGAGTGGAGGTTAATCGGATATCCTCCAGTGCTTGTTCCATATTTTGGGAAGTGAGGAAGAGGATTACCACGTTCCTGCCATTTGAAATCGAACCGAAGGGAGTGCTCACCGACAACGAGGAGGTTGTTGGTACGGCAAGGGGGATGAAGATACGGGCAACCATTCTTGATACGTCAACATCACCGAAATGTGTTCCGTGGGATGATGACGCCTTTTCTAAACTGTACGTTTTCCTCATGACATGTTGTGGCGAAAACTGGGCCTTGATCATTTTCGCGTCGATGAAACACCAGAAACAGGTGATGATGCAGAGTGTGTACAACTGGAATGATGTTGAGGTGCTCACAGGGTCATGGTACAGACACTATACACCTTCGACAACCTTGAACAAGTACGGCAACATTGCAGTTCGGTACACTGACATGATGGCTATTGTCCTCCATGCCAAGAACGGCAATTTCGACAATATAACGGTTGCGCCGAAATTGCGAGCCGAGTTGACAAATTTAAACGTTGAAGAGGGTGAATTTGTGAGGTGCTCAGGGGAGTGTATCGGCGTGGAGGGAGATATCGGCGCGGTTTATTCTTGGATGGAACGAGAGTCATCACGTCTCCGAAAACTGTGCAACTCGTTCATCAGGGAGGACGATGGCGTGATGCTGTTGGGGAGGGCGCATGCGGGACTGATTTGGGAACTCGCTCGCGTCGGACACCACGTATTTGCGTGTGACGACACGACAAAAGAGCTCAAATACCTTTCCAAGTTTTTGGAGTTTTATGTGAAGGATCCGAGGAACAAATGCAGGTTCGAAAAGCCCGAAGTCGAGCACCGCAAGGACCGGGACATTTACTATATGCTCGGCAGGAAGAGGGAGAAAGTGTGGGCTTACTTGTTCGGTGACGCTCCATGGACGGCGGTTGATAACGACTTTGTCATCAGGAAAAATGAACTCGAGATAAAAATGAACGAGTACCACGGATCGCACATGGGTGCTTTCCACATGTTCGTAGTGCGTTGTGAGCATCTGTATTTCAATATGAAGAAAAGAGCACTGTCATGCAGGGACTATGTGGACTTGGCACGTAAAACGGGGAACTTCAATAACATCGATTGTGACGAAGACACATCAGACTTCGACCTCGACGTTCCGTCGCACGCGACACAACGTTCGGCGCAGGGAGCACGTGCCGAGGAACCGCAAGGGAGCACCAGACTTCGACCTGGTCGAGTTTGGGAGCGACATATGCTAGTGAGGGAGACGTGGAACATAGAATGAATCCAAGGGGAGAAAAGAATGGTGTACCAACGAACCCGGTGGGTGCGAGTGAGGGAATTGTTAATTCACGGGGCAACACAGGGGGAGGAGAGAATGGGTGTGAAATGACCCCGCCGACATCTGGACCATCATCGATACATGCACCGCAGGCCGAGCAGTGAACGATCACGTCGATGGACACAGATGAAGATGAAGACATGGATATGACAACAGTCATGCCGAAGCTCGTGTCAAGAAAACCGTTACCTCAAGACTTTGCTCAAGACCCTTCAGTGTCATACTTGCTGCAAGACAAGTACAAGGAGTCATCGGAGGAGGACTGGGGTCATCATATTCTAATATGGCATGAGGGCTTGTTCGAACCGTGCGTGTTTGCGGGCAAATGGAAAATGGTTGTGAAGACAAGAGACCACGGGTGGGTCGCGAAGGAAAGAAAGGATGCTGCTATATGGCACAGCGTGACGGAGACGCAACTTTTTCAGCGGGTTGCACAAGAAAATGTCGGTGCAACCGAGGTGGCTATAGCGGCAAAGGCGAAAGCTTTGTTTGAGCAACTGCATGCGAACAAACAACTAGAATTCAGCACAAAGTTCTACGACCTTGCATCAAGTGTGTCGTACGGCTCCATCGATTGAAAAATCAAACAAGCGTCAGCAGTGCAAGGAATCGATAGCATCACCTCTCTGAGGACTCAAGACGCCATCGCGTCTAACACCATCGTTGCGATGGCCAGAGGGGATGCAGGCTGCGAAACGGACACACGTGCGAACGCAGGTCACATACAAAATGAACACTTGTGAGCATGTATTCAACAAAGCACACAGAGAAGCGCAATGGAGGATTCCACTATGATACTCAAGGACGGCGACGACATGGAGTCGGGCACATTGACAGAGCCGCCAACGCGAGGGGTCGACGATGGGGCAACAATCGTTGGATCTTTTGGGTCTCTTGTCGCGACAGTGGCGGCGAGGCAAGGCGTATCTGAAATGATGGAGACCGATGCGGGCCAGGATGTTGAAAGTCAGACCGTGAAGGTGACGATAGAGCAGGTGGCGGCAACAACAGAGGAGAAGAGGAAAGGTGAGGGATCTCGCGAACACATTTCTGTAATAGATATGAGAWCGGAGAGTACGGGCGAGGATATGATCCAAGATAACGACCAGAAAAATGACGACGCTGCACCACGAGTGGAAGGTGACGACGAAGAGGACGCACAACGACCGAGACGGTCAACGAGAGCAGTAATTAAGAAAACTGTGTTTGATGCATAGGAAAGCCTTAGACGGGCATGTGCGTTTACACATTTTAGGTTATATTGATGTGTCGCCACAAATCATGATGCGATATTCACCGGTCCTCACATAGGGTGTTTACGCATTTCTTGTTAAATTGATAGGTTGCCGCTTGGTACTATGTTAGAAAACTATGTTAGACAGAAATGGGTGTAAACGCGTTTTGGGTTATATTGTTGTCTTAATGGAAGTGTTATTGTGACACTGCAATTCTCGAAATTGTAGTGTCGATAATAGAGGGTGCCCCATCTCGATGCGTATGTGTGTGTGTGTGTGTGTGTGTGTGTGTGTGTRTGTGTGTGTGTGTGTGTGTGTGTGTGCATCTGTGTGAGTAGGCAGAGGTCGACTCGTCACCAGCGTTAGGTTGTGTGTGTGGATTAAATTGTATGTGCGTGCTTGGTACGGTTTTATAATAAAGACATATGAAAACACACTATATGGGGCACTTTGCCTGTCATGTGTCAAGGACACCTCTAATTTCATAGAACTTGTTATGCCATCTTCTAGGGCGCTGCGAATGGTTGTCTTAACCTAAATCCCCACGAAGTTAAAAATAGGAAACCATACTAACAAAATGAAAAAAAAAAAACACGAAAATATGTGAAACAGCAAGGCTGGAATAGTGAACTTATATTCTAAATACTGCCCAAAGTACTGAACATGAACATCAGAGACATGATGGAAGCAGGGTTACCGTTAACCACCATAGATCGTGAAAAGTATCATTGATCTATTTGCTTTCAAAAAGTACACGAAAATTGGGCAAGAATTGTAGTTGTGTTATGCGCCATATTACGAGGAAGATGGAGGTCGGGGTGTTCATGTGAACTCGCTATAGTATCCTGTTGCCAGGATTTAGCAATTGAAATTTTCTCCCCGTTTCGAGCATGCAAATATGGCAGGCCCCGATCACGATATCTTACGCTGCGGCATAATGCATTGTCATGTGCAGAAAGGAGGAACATAGAAGAATTACGAAGATGCAAACAGGGATGGACGATCCACTTAGCAACGGATAAGTTATCGGAGAAGGAGACGGCTGCGGTGCAACATTTACGAGATTCAGTGCAAGCGGAGAATCGGACGGTCTGGACATCCACGTACAACGGGCCAACAAAAGAAGAACTAATACTAACCGGGCATGATTTGAGCTTGATACTGTATTAAGGCAATTGGTTAAACAATGAAATAGTTAACTTTTATTTGAGCCTCGTAAGGCTTGACAACATGTGTCGCATAAGCCATCGCGAGTGTGATAGTGGACAAGACGGAACAGTGGTAGAAGGAAAGGGGCGCATCCCGATAACAACAATTTTTAGTTCCTTCTTCTTCGCGAAATTGTTCGACGACGACATGCAATACTAATACAGCGTAGTGCAGAAGTGGATGACAGATATCGATGTGGGTGACGTGGACTTAATAATAGCTTCATTCCATGTCCGTAATTCCAACCATTGGACACTAGTAATAGCTAACCTAAGGTGCCAAAAAATGGAGTACTACGACTCGCTTACGCTTGACAAAGAATTGGCAAGGAAAGTGACAGGTGGTTTCGCAAGATTCTTGTTCGAAAGATCGGTTGAACAGGGAAAGGTGGTGGATACAAAAGATTTCAACCACACATGGAATGTGTCAGGCATTCCTAGACAGCGCGGCATTAACGAATGCGGTGTCTTTATGCTAACATATGCGTCACTGTTGGCAAGAGGATTTCCCCCGCCATTCAACTTTTCTTTCGACGACATCCACAATATAAGGGGACGGATCGCTTTAGATGTACTTGTCACACCGAAATAGGAGTTACTTGTGCAACAAATAACATTTGATAGATGACATTATGAAAGAAAAACATTTGTTTATTTTTTTGCAAATGTAAAGAGATCACTGACTCTGCTGGATACACACGCATGAAAATGTCCGAATGTATTTAACAAAGCAACAACGCGACATGCCCGATTGAATACCATTCATTGTGTTACTTCATATGACCTCGTACCCCTTCCCCCTTACCTCTTACCCCTTACCCCTTACCCCTTACCCCTTACCCTTTACCCCTTACCCCCTATACCCATAAAACACTGCATAAAATACATACACAAATCGAAAAACAATGGACTTTTAATTTCGCGCAAAAAATAAAAAATGAACGTTTTGACGAAATCGCAGTTAAAGGGAAGCTAGGACTACACTGTTTATCACCAAGGTCCGCCCAAAAAGTGACTTGTGTTGATGGTTCCATTGGGAGAGTTTGGCGCAAGTCGGGGATGATATCCGACCATTATTTTACGGGGGTTTACCCTTGACTGTCATTTTTACTCCGAAAATCCTGATTGAGGATTCTAGATCCATCCAGGTGATGTGGTGACCTTCCGGGGGGCAGCCCCCTTGATGGTGGAGCCACCATCCTAGCGTTTTGTGCCCCCAGTTGACGACCATACCCGAGAGGGGGCAGAAAAGATCCATTAACCTATGTATCTCCTCCATGTTCTGATTCGTGGCGTCGGCCACTATTGTTAGATCGTCTGCGAATAGTGACCAGACTGGGACTGCGTTGCCACGTGCAATTTCATCGAGCTGGTCCTTCGCGGCTCTGCATTCTTCATTCCCTATTCTCCATTCCCATGTGCAATTCTCCATTCTCCATTTCCACGTGCGATTCTTCATTCTCCATTCTCCATTCCCACGTGCAATTCAATCGACTTGTTCTCGCGAGCCTTACGTGGCAAACCCGATCGACTCCATTTCTCCAGTACACAATGGCATCTACATCTAAGATCCATCGCTCTCCCCCTTCTTTTGTAGTGTCCATTTATTTATTTTTACGCAGTATTGCGAAAAGCTTGCTGCGCTGGCCATGATCCTCACTCTCGTGGGTTAGGATAAGGGATGGGAGAGATCCATCGCTCTTGACCGTTTATTTTTTGTTTTCATTTTCTTTTTCAAATGAAGTAATGTGAAAAGGTTGCTGCGCTGGCCATGATACCCACTCTTGTGGGTTGGGATGAGGGATGAGAGAGATCCATCGCTCTCCTCCTTGGGCCCCTTCTTTTGTTGTTTTCACTTTTTTTATTTTTTTTAAGTATTGCGAAAAGGTTGCTGCGCTGGTCATGATCACCACTCTTCTGGGTTAGGATGAGGGATGGGAGAGATCCATCGCTCTCCCCCCTTTTTTTTGTTGTTTTGATTTTTTTTTTAATGAAGTAATGCGAAAACGTTGTTGTGCTGGCCATGATCCCCACTCTTGTGGGTTGGGATGAGGGATGGGAGAGATCCATCGCTCTCCCCCCCCTCTTTTTTTTGTCTTTTTTTTTTTTAATGAAGTAATGCAAAAAGGTTGCTGCTCTGGTCATGATCCCCACTCTTGTGGGTTGGGATGAGGGGTGGGAGAGATCCATCGCTCTT